TGTACGCGTTGGAATTGTGGCCACCAGGGCTTGAAACCGGTTTCGAAAATACCGGTAAATAAAGGTTAATACCGGTTTTTAGTAAAGGTTTCGTTCGGAGCGCGTCCGAAATGAAAGCGGTACCTAAAACCTTAATAAACTGGTTTAATCCAGAGCGACACGTGCACGCGTCGGCATCGCTTGAAGTTTGTTTTGTTTGAACTAATCAAGTCACAACTTATTAATGCTCAGAGATTGGTGCATTTATTGACACGTTTGCTAGCGACTAGTGAGTCAAGTTATTCATTTATTATCGATGGCGTCAGTAAGAACGAAAGGAAACCCTTTAAAAACCGCTAAATTGATTCAAAACTTATTTGATTGCGCTCTTTAGGAAAACCGGTTATTTAAGGTTAAGGTTATTTAAGCCAAACCTAAATAAAACGCTCCTAATGTACTTGACACTGATTCAGGTTTGAAAACCGGTAAACAAGCCCTGGTGGCTACAGTTAAACGGTGACAAAGTAGGCCAGCGCACGTGGTCCTCTAAAGGAAAGGGGAAGGTAGAATAAGAGAGAATAACTCCTCAGAACACTCGCCGTGGTACAGACATAGAACGCGCTTAGTGAAGCCACGTAATTGAAGAGGCTCAAGGTGTTTACGTAAAATTTAAATTGGCTAAGATAACAAACATCTCAAGATTAAAATGTCGATATTATCTCGCATGGTCAATTGATACCACTTTGGTACAAGAAATTTATGGCAATCACAAAATTGATGCTTATTACAATATAATAGGGTTAAATATTGTAAAGAAAACATTAGTAGGTATACCTATGAAATCAGAAGTATGTCAAGATTTAGGTGAAGTGCTTTATAAGATGACAGTGACGTCAAGTAAAATAAACTTGAAGATTATCAAGCAGTTTTAAGTATTAAATGTAACATTGGTCAAATCGAGAAGGCTAACTCATGTCATGGGGTAGACGGTATATAACTTGCTACCAAAGTTGGTCACTGACGCCAAGTCTCTTAATGATTTTTAAAGTTATGGCTCGTTGACAGAACTTTTTATAGTGTCGATGAGTTTTTGAATGATAAATCCTTGCATCAATTGGACTAATTTATATATATTTTTTTATAATATTGAATGACTATTTATTTTTTAATTCATTACCAAGTCTGCAAAAAAATAATAATTGAAAGCTGTTTTGTTTTTTTTGCATAATTCTTATGTTTCTGGGTGTACTGAATCCGAAAATGACTTTCATTTTGTCGTAGAACGTCACGTTTTCTGACAATATAGGATCTACTTAAAACAAGTTATCCTCTTTAAATAAAATTTAAAAGACTATATATTTTTTTATTTTAATTACCTACGTAACTAAACTTATTTTTTTTATCTAAACTACATTCATTAGTAAGCACGAAACACATTTCTTTTTCCTCTGAGAGAGAGAGAGTGAGACTCTTTTTGGTACATTTTTGCTTGTAAGAAGCATCTTGCAGGTCCTCTGAAGCGTTTAACGGCAATCTGCTACCATTGAGACGCTCCATCATCCCTGGTATCCATTTATCTCCTTAACATCTCGGTGAAATGGTTCACCTTGTCCTTCACTTACATTTCCTACATTTTCTGTAAACTAGTCGAGGTGGGAATGAAAAGAAAATATTCTTTAAAATTTATTATGCAGCATATAGCTTAAAGTGTAATAGTTGGGGTCTTTTTACTGCCAAATAATTTCTCTATGGCCTCTTTAAAGCCAATCCACCCTTCTCTTTGGGATCCGTCATGGTTTTGATGATTTGTGGATCAGCCATAAGCCATCTAATATCTTATCCAACGAAAACACCTTTTTCAACTTTGGCCCTTAGAAGTCTGAAAATTTTGATATTAAGTATATCAAAAATATAACAGAAACTGTCAAATGAATTCACAAACTTCCGTACAGAAGACATTCTAGTAGTATATTGAACCAATATCTATAAAACAGTCTACCCCGTAACTTTCTATACTATTGGAGCGCGCACTTTCAGGTTACAATATAAAATATATGAGTTATGTTAGTTTAACTCACGCAGATCGTTCTTTATTTAGAAAGTAGTGTTAGTTATGGCCAGTGTACATTAAAAAAACAGTGAAAATAAATTTGTAGCTCCTATTTTCAATCCTCCTAGCTAAGTCCAAAATACTATTTTTATAGTTGCGTTTTGCAAAATAACCTTACGTTCTGGATTTTTTTTTGTATTTTTTTAGCCTTTAGAACACCAAGTAGTCATATATATAAATCAGTTGAAAACATCCAGACAGCATTTTTGTTGCAGACCTGTGTTATTTTTTGTTTTGTTATTGTCATTTTTATTTGACATTTTAACTTTATTTAAGTATAAATATTGTATTTTAATTGTTTTAACTCTGTAATGTATTTTTAAAATAATTTGAAATTGATATGAGAATTGAATTTTGTCATTTTGAATTCATTGAATGTTTGGTCAGTACCTTATGTATTTCAATTCTGAAAATTATGATTGACGTATAATTTATTACGAAATAAATGATGATTGAACAATGATTATGATTATGTGAAGTATTATGTGCGCAGTTAACTCTATGGTGGATCGCAGGATAGGTGATAAAAAATGTATTACCTCAAGTTCCTTAAGGAATGAAGGAAATATTGATCTCAGGTGCATCCGTAGCATCTATCGAAATAAGATTAGGCTCGCATAGTCTGTTGAATCACTTTTTAGGGGTCCGTACTTCGAAAGAAAAATCGGAACCCTATATCTCAGGAACGCGTTTAGTTATTGAGTTAAAATGTAAACCATACTATGCTCAAGTCAACGTCCCTTAGAGTAGCGAAAAAATAAAACTTCTGAGTTAACGTAAAAAAACATACGGGCGTTTATGTTGTACCTAAAAATTTGACCGAAACCAATTCGCACCAGTCCGACTTTTTTTCACTAGGAATATTTCTGCCCCAGCAAAGAGGAAGCTAATATGACAATCACGATGAACTTTTTAATGTTATATCGCATTTTATCCTTAGATTAAAACAAAAAGGGTAGATACGGCACTAGCCTCACAAAAGTGATCCGCATGAATTGTGGTCCACGACCCTAATCGCTTTAGTCACAACTTGACATGCAAACGACGTACATGTGAACGCCATAAAGAAATATTGCTAATATTTTGTGTTTATATGATAAAACAATGCCTAAGTGTGTTTTTAAAAAGTGCTCAAATTGCTCAAGAACTAGAAATAAAACCCACGGCATCACTTTTCATTCGTAAGTACTATAAAATATAGTTTTTCATAAAAATTGCTGTTTGTATTGAATCTTATTCGGTAGTGTCGTTGAGTACTAGTCGCGTGATTGGTCGGTAATGCAGTGACGCGGATCTCCCCGTCTGCCGTTGAAACTTAACGTGTTGTTTCGTTCGGGTCGGTAATGCAGTGACGCGGATCTCGCCGTCTCGCTCGCGCTGCCGTTGAAACTTAACGTGTTGTTTCGTTCGGGTCGGTAATGCAGTGACGCGGATCTCGCCGTACCGTTCGCGCTGCCGCGCTGCAGTTTTTGTTTGATGCAAGTATGAGCGTACCGTATCTACCCTTTTTGTTTTAATCTAAGATTTATCTATTGATGCTGTCCAAACATAGAGTGGTGATCCAATCACACACTGTTTATCTCATAGCTACAAACAATATATATAAGAGAAATTCAATTGCTCTAAAGCGGCCTATTAACGACAATCTGTTGCTGATCTTTTATATCGACTCCTGTAACGTCATTCAATTGCATCAGAATGAAAAGTTAATAATAATAATAATAATATTCTTTATTGTTATACACCATAGAAAAACACACAAGTAAATTAAAACATGATAAATAGAACGTACACAATATAGGCGGCCTTATTGCTAGGCAGCAATCTCTTCCAGGCAACCCTTAAAAGAAAGATAAATAAATATGAAAGACATAAGGAGGGGTGTTATAGAAAAAAACATAATGATATCAATGACAGGAAAAACAGATATATCTAAGGAAGGAAAGAGAGGATGAAGTAAAAATTTAACATAATTGTTGGGATAGGAAATAACTCCGAACTTGATCCCTAAACGAATTCAGAGTGCGAGCCCTTCGAATGGTTTCTGGCAATGAGTTCCATAATCGTACTGAATGCACAGAGAAAGAATAGGAAAAGAAATCAGTAGAATGAATTGGAATTTCAAGAGATAGGTTAGAAGAAGATCGCAATGTGCGCTGTGAAGTAGAAGTGAGAAACGAGAAGCATTCTTTTAAGTAATGAGGAGAAGTGGGTAAGAAAAGTACGGAGTAAAGAAGTGTAAGAGTGTGTAAGTCCCTGCGCCGGCGAATAGGAAAAGTTGTCGATATTCCGTTGATATAACTAAATGCTTTCATTTATTTTTAAGCATTTAAATGCTAGATGTTTAAATCTAAAGAAAAGTTTAATAGAAAAATAATCGACGCGGGCCAGGCAGCGGACGGGACTCGAACCCGCACCCTTCGCAATCCGGGCGAATGCACTGACCATTATGCTACCACGGCCCTATTGGCCATGTCGAAATTTTCCTAGCCTTAAGCTGCAAGGCTATATAATTAAACATCTAGCATTTAAATGCTTAAAAATAAATAAAAACATAACTATAATTGCTATTTCCTCTTTTAAATGTTTAATACTTGAAAAAGTATTCATTTGACATTGTGGGTTACCTACTATGCGAAGAGATGGCGCTGCCTTGCAGCTTAAGGCTAGGAAAATTTCGATGCGGCCAATAGGGCCGTGGTAGCATAATGGTCAGTGCATTCGCCCGGATTGCGAAGGGTGCGGGTTCGAGTCCCGTCCGCTGCCTGGTCCGCGTTGATTTTTTTCTAGTAAACTTTTCTTTAGATAACTAAATGCCTTTGTAACGACATGCTGTTGCATCAGAAGGACCATTGTCACAATATTACATTTGCATCAGAACGGCGATTATAACCATATTCAATTGTTTCAGAACGGCCTGTCGGCATACGGCACCTGATTGCCTTCCTCCTGTTCCTGGGGACCACGACGTCGTATGCCACTCGTGTCAGCATGAGTCTCGGCATAGTGGCAATGACCAACCCCAATGACTACGGACATCCAGTGAGTAATCTTTTAGCGAAGCTACCTTGGTCGTTTGAATTTGTTCCGTGAAAGTTTTGACGGCGTTTTGACTAAAAATGTTACAGAACAAATCTTGTGGGAGAGGTAGATCTCTTTTTACTTTTCACAATCTTTTTTTAAGCTTAAAAACATATTCCATTTGGTGGTCAAATTGTTTTTTCGAAAAGGCATGATTCCTATTGCCGTTGTTGTAGTTAGATTTCATAACTTTTAAACAAAAAATCTCGGTAATTCTTCCTGTAGGAAGGCCACAGGGGAATATCTTCCTCCGAGCTGGATGATGGTAGCTCGGGGGCCGCGGCCCAACTGATGTTGGTCGGGCATCGTATATATGAAGAGTTAGCCTCCGAATTTCACTTGCGCGATGTAGGCTTCCATATTAATATTGATCGCAGTGCAGGTAACGCCATCTCTTGAGGATGATGAGTAATGATTTCCTACATCCGTTGTATATCTGTGGGGCATATAGATGTCGCCGCCACATTCCCTTGTACAAAAGTTCCAGTCGAACATTTAATCGATTTGTTTAAGCTATAAAGCAGGTTCCAACTCAGCTGCGAGTTGATCAAGTTACAAGTCCTATGATAGCGGCCATCCCCCGCAATGAAGTCGTTAGGGATACGTGACGGAAATCGGAATGCCACTAACGACTAGTACGCGGCGTCACATCGAAAAATCGTTGTCGCACGTTTGGAATAATTGATGGTTGTATGTACTATCGCGGAATTTTGCGCTCTGTCACTTGGCGAACAAAATGCTTTCAACGGTTTTCTACAGTAGTTTTTACTACGCCCCGCCTTCGCGTCGGACGCGCCAATCTGGGCCGCCGCACAAAAGTAAGACAGAGAGCATTTCATTGATTGAATAATGAATTGAATTGCATTTGTTTTAGTTGCAATTTGTCATCCGCATCGTGATCGCGACAGCGCTATACGAAAAAGTAAGACAGCGATAATTACATGTCTATGATTGAATTTTTACTACGCCGCTACCGCAAACAATTATGGCATTATGGGTGACAGAGCGGGTCTTTCCGCGAGTGTACCTGTAGGATCAGGTGCTTCTGTGATGGTAACGGGTTTCGATTTCGAGATTACGGCGTAATTGTGCGCAATACCGTAGAGAGATATTATTTATTTTAAACATTATTGACCAAAATACAATAGAATGGTACAAAAGGCGGACTTAATGCTAATAGCATTCTCTCCCAGTCAACCTTTGGGAAAAAAAAGAAAAACGCGAACGGCGGTATAAAGCTAAATATACACATAAATATTGAAATAATAAATATATACGAATTAACATAGATACATATATAAATACATACGATACATATAGGAATACACATACATATATGCATACCACAATTATATTTAAATATATATATACACATAACTATACACATGATGACGATTAATAAAGTGACTCTTTATCTTAAATTTTGGAGCAGATGAGTGCGAACATTCCTTTATATTACCACAGAAGTACACTCTAAAGTCTGTGTCCATTTAAATAAAACTAGTTTTAACGGGTTAATGCACGATCTTTATTTATTTATTGACGTTTCGCAACCTTTTCAGGTCTGCATCGTCAGATGTCAATGATTTTTTATTAACTTTGTCGTTCGGATATTTCATTGGGAGATTTTTAAAACTTTCTTGTCTATGTATGAATCTATTAGTTAATTTAGTTAATAAAGTACTTTATTTAAAATTCTTCTTTTTTTGTAATTTTGAGTTTATTTATTTAACTCTAACTACCGTAAAGTACCACCGGTTCCAAAATTGGGAGACCTTTCTGAGAAGAACCGGCGAAACAAACTCAGAGGGGTTTTCTATCTCCTTCTTATGTTAAATTATGCAAACAAAAAGAACTATTGCGAAACGTCAATAAATAAATAAATTTCGTGCATTAGCCCGTTAAAACTAGTTTTAATTAATGAGTGATGTGCGTGAAAACCTAAGAAACAAATCTGTGTTCATTCATCTAAAACTTCACGTATTCTGGGACTTCCGTTCTTTTTACTTGCCGATGTCGACTTTTTTTATAGCTAGATAGGCAAATGAATCTACACCACCTGATGTTAAGTGGTGATAATCAGTTATAAACTGCCACACCAACCATGCTAACTTTGCCGGCCTGCAGAAATGCTTCTTCACTCATTTTCGTTCTAAAACAGACAGTTAATATTTGGCGAATAATTTCTTAGTCATAAAATAAAATGGAATTCTTTCCGCGTACCTGATCATTGAATATATTAGCTAGTTGTGCAAGAGCAATAAAGATGCTGCTTGGCCTACTTGGCTGGGGACTTAGCAAAGACTTCGTTGAAAATTTACACATGAGTAACGCTAAAGTGAAACATCATTTTGGGGTTTTAGTACGATAAAACCCCAAAGCGACTAGAATATATATTTTAGTGAAGCGAATCGGACGAACAAGATTATTTTAGATTTTTTTTTTATAGATAGGTCCGACAAATGACTCCACCCCACCTGATGTTAAGTGAAGGTGAAGTCCAGACGCAAAGATAGCTGATACAGCAGTTCTACCTGCCACACCAGCCATCTTCACCCTGCATGTTGCTTCTTCACGCCTCTTTTAAAGGATCCCAGGTTGTAAGAGGGAGGGAACACGTGAGCGGGCAGAGCATTCCATTTACGGATAGTGCGACAAAGAAATGAGTCACCAAATTTCTTTGTACGCGTTGGAATTGTAGCCACAGTAAAACGGTGACAACGTAGGCCAGCGCGCGTGGTCCTCTGAAGGAAAGGGGAAGGTGGGATAAGAGAGAATAACTCCTCAGAACACTCGCCGTGAACACGATAGAACGCGCTTAGTGACGCCACGTCACGGCGTAATTGAAGAGGCTCAAGGTGTTTAGTCACCTCCTCATCGCCTATGATGCGGATCGCGCGCCGCTGTAACCTATCCAAAGCATCGATAGATAGTACAATATAATTTACAATACAATACAAAACCCTTTATTGTACACCACATATAATATTAAATTTAGTACATAGCCAATTAAAACTAGTGTAACAATGGGCGGCCTTATCGCTTAGAGCGATCTCTTCCAGACAACCTTTGGATGGAGAGAACTAGAAGGAAGTGGGAGAGACGGCGGTGTAAATCACTTGAGTGATATAGGTGATAATATATACAATTATATACATACATATATATAAATATATATTAAATAATTACATACACACATAAATAAACAAATCTAGTTCAGTTGGTAGTAGTCACAAATAAGATTAACATCAAAAGTTATAAGGACAAATAAGGACAAATTTAGTACGACCGTACATTATAATTTAACGTGACCTTGGCATTTTTCAATTTAATTTTTAATTTACTTTTTTCAATCAGTTTATTTTGTTATTTTCAAAGAATCAAAGTGATAAAATGATCCTATTAGCAACCCATATTCCAGGTGTTCGAGTGGGAGAGGAGCGTACAAGACACGATCTTGTCTTCCTTCTTCTGGGGCTACATCATGCTTCAGATCCCAGCTGGTATGCTAGCTGGCAGGTTCGGTGGCAAGTTCCTGGTTTTTGGGGCCATGACCTGCACTGGCATTGTCAACTTAATAGTACCACTAGCAGCTGTTCACGTAAGTACTAAAACAAGGTTCTCTTCAAGAGAGGCTTAAATACACTGTTCCACGAAACGCAACGACATAGCTGTCCCCATAGGTGACGGTGACCATTTAACTTCAGGTGGCTCGTCCCCTCGTCTGCCTTCATCATCATCATCAGCTTATTAATGTCCCCACTGCTGGGGCACAGGCTTTTCCAATGGATGGAATACGGCGATTGGGCCATGACTCACCACGCGGGCCCAGTGTGGGTTGGTGGGTACTAACGACTGCATATGCAGCCGGGACTAACGGTTTAACGTGTCTTCCGAAGCACGGAGGAGCTCGACATAGTAAATTTTTTGGTCACCCATCCAATGGCCGACCACTGCGAAAGTTGCTTAACTTCAACGATCGCTGCCGAACGCACTAACCACTTGCGCCATCGAGCTCTCCTCAACGATCGCAGAATCGACTGCCTTCAAAGGCAATAAAGTTTTTTTTAGATTAGTATTTTGTTTATCCTCTCTTTAGTCTTTGTTACGTAACTATCTCAATGCTGAATTCCTTTAAATAACTTGTGGGCACATGTATTACTTCTTTCGGATCTGAAATGAGATCATTATAAATTGTAAGCAGTTGTATTGTTCTACGATATCTAAGGAGCACTTTGCAACTGCCTCCTACAAAAATATTCTTCTAAAGCGATTGCAATAGTGATCCTGATGATGTTTAATGAATGAGACATTTATTATTCAAGTCCAAATAACTCTAATCCCTAACCATAAAACCCAATCCCATAATAGGTAGCCAATAAAATAAAAAAAGAAATAGTACGGAATTTGCAAGGCAATGTCACTTCTCGTAAATCAGCAGTAGTAGTACCCTTTACTAACGTCAAATTATAACAAAACTAAAAAGCCCCATAAAAAGGGGTGCCGTCCCGAAACTCAGCATTGTTACAATGGAAGTGCCTAATAAATCCCCAAAACGGGCAGAGACCGAATATAAAAAAGTGGCATTGTCGCAAGAACGAGCCTGCGGGAGAGTAAAACAAAGTGAGCTAATTTGTCAAGACATACTATTGAACGCTCTGAATGATGATAAAAGATTCAAGATTTCATTGCAGCCAGTCGAGTAAATGTATGGATGAGGTGAGATGTCGTATTAACCTCTTCATGCTGGAGTGAACAACGCTTCCTGAACGTGGGTCCTGTTTTTTATGATCTCTTTTATATACTTATTGGCATCGATAAATTTCGAAATATTCGAAGGAATTGATTTAGATTTTAAACTATTTTCTTCACATATTGACAAATAATTATAAGCGTTCAACTGCTAGATGTTTAAATCTAAAAGTTTTTTTTTCAATAGTTATATATATAGTTTTCCCTCATTTTGGTTTCATTATTATATGTATATTATAATTTGAAAATGCTAATTTTATTCAGTTCCGACGATAAATTCTGTGTGTTATTCTGGATTATAAAAGAGCGATAAGAGATGTTAAGAGAGATAAAGTTGAATGGGGGAGAAGAGATAAGACCTTATACCCGATGAATGATATTAAAAAGAGATCATCAGATGCGATAAGTAAAAACTGTACTGGAGAACATACAAGAATTAAATGTTTTGACAAAGTTCAACTTTTGTGATTTAAACAGCAATTAAAGGTCATCAACGAATATTCTATCTATAACGAAGCTATTCGGTATTATGTTTCTATGTATGCTCTTCTGAATTTAATTTATCTAAGGGGCATCGAAGTTGCTTGTTAGTTTTTTTTTTATAGATAGGTCCGACAAATGACTCCACCGCACCTGATGTTAAGTGAAGGTGAAGTCCAGACGCGAAAATAGCTGATACAGCAGTTCTACCTGCCACACCAGCCATCTTCACCCTGCCGGCCTGCATGTTGCTTCTTTACGCCTCTTTTAAAGGATCCCAGGTTGTAAGAGGGAGGGAACACGTGAGCGGGCAGAGCATTCCATTTACGGATTGTGCGACAAAGTAATGAGTCACCAAATTTCTTTGTACGCGTTGGAATTGTGGCCACAGTAAGACGGTGACAACGTAGGCCAGCGTAGTATTTGTAAAGATAACCAATTTATTTTCAGGGCGGGTGGATAGCGGTATGCGCCTGTCGTGTAGCCATGGGCTTAACTCAAGGTCTCCTGTATCCAAGTTTGCATGGGCTACTGGGTCACTGGGCACCAGCTGCCGAACGCAGCCGATTGGGAACCTTTATCTATGCTGGTAATTTCAGAACACTCCATTATTAACGATGACATATTTAATTTTCTTTCTATTAGTATCGCGGCCAGTTGCATATTGGTTCAATTTTTTTGTCAAGTTAGCGTCCACTACAACTACAAAGTCAATTTAAGCTAACAAATGTTTATAAAGACTTTTCTCGGCATTAAATAGATCAGGTGCATTGCAAAGTTTTGCAATATAGAAAATCCTCGCAACTACCAACTGGCATATTTTACGGGCTTAGTACGCCAAGTCAAAACTTGCACAGTTATTTAAAATTTAAGCTTTACAACGAGAATATTGCTGACCTGGGACTTTCTGAAACAAATGCAATGCAGCAGAGCAGACCATTTTGTAATAGTCCAATGCAGTGCTGAGTTAACCGTGTTCCAATAACATCGCACTGAAATTGGGAATTTTTTCGCTTTTCGAAAGTTTTAATGCGAACAAATTAGTTCAGCTGCTACATTGTACGGGCAACTTTTTATCTGTAACTAAGGCACTAGTTTTCCGATTAATAGGAAAGAAAGTTTTATTGAAATTGTTTAATTTTTACTGCTATTATCAATTTTATATCAAATACAATGCAGAGATAATAAAAATTATCGACGAAGTAGACTTATTGTTATCCAGACTTTTAACTATAAAATTTCGTTTACTTTGTAAGTTTTATTTTAAAGAATCAAAACAGCGGCAACATGTATATTTCTTGCCACAAAGTTTCTGTAAATTGCTCAATCGACTTTGAATCTTATATTTAGGAGGATATAGTTCATGTCAGTCGAAGTAATTTGTCTGTTGTACCTGTTGATGGCTCCACTTGACGTTAGTTGGAGCATTTATATTATGAAAATATTGAAATGACTTTGTTTTTCAAATAAACCTGTAACATTTCTATGGCAAATAATTTTTTGAACTTGTTTTTATAGTATACTAGTGGCCCACCCTCGCTTCACTTCGGGGTAGAATTGATCAAAATCCTTTCTTACCGGATGCCTACGTCATAACATCTACCTGCATGCCAAATTTCAGCCCGATCCGTCCAGTAGTTTGTGCTGTGCGTTGATAGATCACTATGTCAGTCAGTCACCTTCGAGTTTTATATACATAGATTGTTTTTTCACCAACAATAAAGTATTTAGTGAGATTGCTACCATGTACCTTGTATTTGCGAGTTCACTATATTTCGGAATTGTTTCTAATGCAGTCACGTAGTCATTCCCTGATACTCGCATAAAGCACGTTGAGTGTGCTGTAGTGTATAGGATTGGTGACCAAAAACGTATTATCTCGAGTTCTTCGGTGCTCCGGAAGGCAAGTTAGCACTCATCAATCCGCACTGGTCCCGCGTCACGGCCCATTCTCCTTATACCGCATATAAGAAACACGTACCCCAACAGTGGGGGTATTAACAACCTTATGATGACTCGCAGAAACAAGGCGCATGGTAGCAATCCCGCTGATTAATATAATGTTACGTGGCGGGATGGGGTTCGAAATTATATGCCAGTTCACGCTTGACAGTTCTTTATTCACCACACAATTCACACAATTAACACACAATGTTAATTACACAACACTCACTAAACACTATATTTCACTATACAAGTCTCTAAACTATCGCACTTGAACACATTTATTGCACTTTGATCACCTTTGGATTCGCTCCGAAATCGCTGTTGAAACTCAACTGTCTCTGCGTTCGTGGTCTTCTGTTTTCACAGGTTCGGGCTCGAAGCTTGGCTTCCTTCCCCGGGCTGCATCTCGCGGGGGTGCGCCCCCGCGGGGTTGGGCGCCGCTGGTCAGCGGCCGTCTGGTGACGTTTTCTTTTCTGGTTCTGCTCTCGCCAGGAGCTTGCTACGCGGCCCTCAGCGCGGTCTGCCGAGCCGGGTGAGACCCCCTGGGGGGAGGCCCAGCTAGCGCCAGCGAGCAGGCCGCGATTTAAGCAAGTGGGGAGCAGAATTGTTGTTGGGGTTGGGGGTGTGGGGGAGGCCGGATTTGGGTAGGGTAGGTTGTGGGAGACGGCGAGAGCAGGCTGCGAGGTGGTGGTCGCGGTGCTGTTTTTGGTTCTCGCCTTCTGGAGTCTGAGGACAAACAGAATTAAAAACACGGCAAATTTGGTAAAAGGTATCGATGGGCTCCGGTGGGCTATTCTGAGTTGATTGGGTTGGCGGCCCCCTGGAGCAGCCAGGTCAGGGCACTCAGAATGGCCTGAGTAGGATTTGCTCCCCTGCTGATATCCTCTAGCAGGCGGTAGAGGATGGATAGTACCGCCTGCATTGGAAGCTGGGGGAGAGATGTGGGTTGGGGGTAGAATTGGGGGTGCACCCTGGGGGGCGGAATAGTGGGCGCCTCCTGGGGGGGCCTCTGGTACATTGGAGGTGGAGGGGGGTGGAATGCCGGTCTTGGGGCCGGCCTGGTTTGGCGGACCACTTGGGGTCGAAAAGACTGGAGCTGGGGTTGGGGGCCTCTGGGCCGTGGTGTCGGAAGCTGGGAAGAATCCGACGCTGGCGGAGGGGGAGGTCCCATCCTTTGGGTGGCCGCCCTCACTGGGCGGAATGAAGCAGCTGGGGCTGAGGTGGACAGCGGGCCTCCCCCTGGGGGAAAACCCGGCGGAACATCGGGGGCAGCGAGTGGGAGGGTGGTCGGGGCAGGGGCAACGTGCGCTTCTTCTGCCGCTTGTGGCCTCCTCCTTCTTCTTCGTCGCCTTTTTTTATTGGAGACGGGCGCTCCTCTGGGGGTGGGCGGGTTGGCAGGGGCGGCCAAGGTTGGTCCTACTTGGGTGTCCAACAAGTTGACTGGTGGGGGCTGCTGCGGGACGCTGGCTGACGTCTGGCGACGCTGTTGCGGCACTCCTCCTGGGATTGGGGGTTGGATCCTTTGATTCAGACGGCGCGCAGTTTGAATGAAGACTTTGCACCGTCTGTCGTTGGCGGCATGGCTCTTGCCGCAGTTGGCGCAAGTTGGTGGGATGGCATCAGAGCGTGGGCAGTCGAAGGCGGAGTGGTCCCCTGCACATCTCACGCATTTTTTGGGACGGTGGCAATTGAGGGAGCTGTGGCCGAAGGCTTGGCAACGGTGGCATTGGGCTGGTCCGGCTCTTGGCTTCCAGCCTTCGATAGTAACCCCTGGCATTCCCAGGAGTTCGTCCGTGGCGTAGAGGCGCGCGAGCTCGTCCCTTGAAAGGTGATCGAGTTGGACATGGAATATACATCCCGGGCGGCCTCTCTTCCCTCGGATGCTTCTTACGAAAGTCACTGGAAAGCCCCTTTCTTCCAGTGCCTCCGTGATGGCCAGGGGGTTGGTGTCCGCCGGGATGCCTCGGATGGCTACCTTGGTGGGAAGGTCTTCTTGGGGGGCGTAGCAATACCACACTATCTCTGTATTATCTGCTGAGGCTTCCACCAAATACCTCTGTGTGGCCCTAAACTCCTCCTCGCTTTTTGGCGAGAAGCGTACGCCCGTGTTGAAGGGGCGCGCGTTTGGGGTGTGCCCGAGGATGTCTCTGATCTTCTTCAGGTGGAGCGGCCAGTTCGGCAGTCTCTCCACTATAATAGGCGGGTACCCTCTTACGGTGGGTCTTGCGGTGGCTGGTGGGGTATGGGGAGAGAGAGGAGGCGTCGCACGGGTCGTTGCGGCCTGGGCGTAGGACCTCGCGTGCGCGCCATCACTCTCCTCGAACGGCTGCACCTGGCAGTAAATGGTACTGGCCGTGTTGTCGAATTGGGGTGGGAGAGGGCTGCTGGGCCCTTCCATCCCACCGGCGGATTCTTGCTCCGATTCCGATTCGGACTCGGAGTCTGCGGATGACGAAGAAGAGTAGGAGGTTGATCGCCTCTGTGGAGGCGGGACATACGTCCCGCTGGTACTGGGAGCGGGCGCGGCAGCCCGCTGTGGTGGTGATGGGCCGTGCTTGGGGCGTTTTTCATCGCCTCCAGCGGCCTCGTCGTCTTCCAGTTGGCGTCTTCTTGGGTCTCGAGGGTGAGCGGTGGCCGGGGCAAGACAGGGGCGGCGCTGGTCATCAGCACCATCCATGTTGGCCGGGGCTGCGCTCGGCTTTGGAGTGCTCGCCTCCATTCTGAGGGACTGGCGAGCAGGGGGTGGCACGGTCTGCACCGATCGGGGGGCAGGACGTGGACGTGGGTCCGGAGGCTTCCTTTGTGGAAGCGGTTTCGGTGGCATTTTTTATAAAAAAAAATGTCACAAAGTCCGGTGGGTAGAAGGGAAAAAAAATAATGTGGGTAAGAGTGAAATAATTATGGGGGACAAGGACAAAAACAGAAAAAGAAAAAGGTGGGAGGGTAGATTTGGAAAAAATGGAATGGAGGGTGGGAACGAAAACACTAAGGGAAACACTTGTAGATTTTAAAACAATAAAAACACAAGTGATCGACGAACACGTAACAAAGATACTACACAACACTTAGGCGTCAATATCGCAACACAGAAAACACACTTTGTTAGGTGGTCGTAGGGCGACCTCGCACGCGAACGCGGAGGAGGGTAGTTTCGGTTCTGCACTCGGCACAGTGGGGCAGGCGGGCTCAACGACGAGCGGAGTCACACGACCTACCACGAACGCGACACGAGGAGAACTAAACACATACACCGTGCGGCTCTTCCAACTGTCTCTGCGCGGCGCCAATCGCGCTTATATACACGATCGACGCATTCTAGAAAGTACCTGTTAAATTGAAAATTAGCTAGTACCCACGAGTAAGAAGTACCTACTTATAACTACGCAGGTAACGCGCATAATTTGTAAACAAGTGCAGATGTCATTGCACTTTCTCCCTCACGCCGCACTGCATAAGGCTCATTTTAGAATGAGCCGCATTACTCGACCTCAATCGCGACCCGCGGTGATCTGGCAAATTTGATCTATAGCACTTTCGCGGTTACGTTTCGAGAGCGTTTGTGACAATAATATCGATCACGCAATTGAGATAAGTTTCATCCCCACCACCTGGAGCCTTGGCGTACTAGTAGCATGCGTACCAGCTAGATCTGGAACGAACAACTCTTTTCCAGCTATGATTTGGCGGTCTTCAAAGGGCGGATAAACCTTTTCCTCCAGAGACGCCAATTCATTGGTGCGGTGGTGCTGCAAATGTTCATGGGCCGGTTTGTTTTTTTATGTTATAGGTGGCATACGAGCAGACGGCTCACCTAATGGTAAGTGATCACCGTCGCCCATGGACACTTGCAACACCAGGAGTATCACAAATGTGATGCCGGCCTTTAAGGAAGGAGTACGCTCTTTTTTTGAAGGTTTTTGGGTCGTATTGGTCCGGAAACACTGCTGGCGACAATATATTCCACAGTTTTGTCGTACGTGGTAGCGTAGTGAACACTTACCATCAAGTGGACTACCAGCTCATTTGCCTGCATAAACATAAATCAAATTACAGGTGCCCAACTCGGTACAATCATCGAGATGATGACGTCGGGCATTCTCTCCGCCAGCCGGTGGGGCTGGCCTTCCGTCTTCTACGTAGCCGGCATTACCTGCTTGGTCTGGTCCGTGCTGTGGCTGATCTTCGGAGCCTCCAGTCCGAGCACGAGCAAATGGATCTCGGACGAGGAGAGGAAATACATCGAAGCTAGTGCTGGTTCCGACGAGTTGACCGGCGATGTGAGTTTTTTTTTTCATAATATTTTTATTCAATTATTTACAATATGTCTCTTTAACTAGGTTATTCTTATTCAAATTTCAACGTGTTTAATAATATACTGTCCGTGCTCGATGCTGCTATTTGATACAGCCAGGGGCGCGGGCAGAAGTCTGAAAGAAGAAGCATAGAAGGATAGTAAAGATAAAAGTAATAAGAAAAAAAAAAATGGTTGCCTGTAAAGTCGGTTTTACGGGCGAAGATTTTACGTGACAACGTCTTTTTCTCGGTAGAATATTTATTGATATGAATATAATTAAATTGCACAATAGGAACAAGGAATTGAATGAAAATAAGAATTGCACAAATTTTAACTATAGAAATATATTTTGTTTACTAAAACATTGTACATGTAAACTTAAACTTAACACGAGAGACTCATCGTAACGTTACCGAGCGTTACACTTTTTCATAAGTGACTCCCAGCCGCAACCTAATTTAAGACGTTGTCACGTCAAAAACAAAGTAAAGAAAAGTTGATTCACATTAGTCCCGTTAAATACTACTCGTTTGCTTCGAGTTGGCCGTCGATAGCCAATCGCAGGCACATCAACTGGTACCATCGTCCAATAAGGTCGACCAATAGGGACTGTCTAAAGCACGGTGTTCTGAAGCTGGGAGGGTGGAAGCAGCTAATTCGAAGCGAACGCGTAGTGCTTTGGTTATTAAAAGTATGCGTTATTAATAGAATGCAGGGTTCACTCAACACATTCACGCAAACTCATGCACACACACACACACACACACACACACACACACACACACACACACACACACACACACACACACAATCATACTCAAATGAGTCCTAAGGTAATTATTATTAACTTTTAAACTATTATATAATATAACGTAATTATTACATTCACAGAAAAAAAATACTTTAAGAGCGTGCGCTGCGTTAAGCGGGACACAGAGCGGGCACCCGCTCGGCGCGCTTGCTTCATGCCATTTCATTGTTTGTTGTTATTTATTTATGAAAATTGGTTTGAAAAAGGTTTAATTTTGTAACGGGCCAGCTGGTACCTGGTACTTCAGCTGAGTAGGATACCAAATTCATTCACCTTTTTTGTGTCAATAAAGAAGATCTATGTGCCTTTAAATATCTAATCTAGCTTTATACCAATCATCGAAGTCAGTGGAGCAGTTTAGGCTCAAAAGCAGGCGAAGTTGCTTTTGCATTTGACAATAGGTAATTTATATGAGTACCACGACAAATTCACTTTACACATAGTTCAGGACCCCATTTTAATAGAGATGACGACTTAGTTTGTTCCGTCTATCGGGTAGGTTATCAAAGAGTAATGGACACGTATTTTTTTCGCACAGTCAAAACATTACAGAGGTATATAGATCAATCAATCAATCAATTATTTATTTGCAAATACAGGTGAAACAAAGGTGTTAAATTATAATACGTACGCTTAGATAGATAGATTTGAAATTGTTTTTGTAAAAATTTTATTATACAGTGACATTGCGAGTTCCGGGTCTCCCATACTTTTGGCGTGCTTTAAAGTAATATTTTTCTGGTTGATTGACCAAAAAAAATACGTGTCCATTATTATTTGATAATTTAATTAACGGACTAACTAAATTACTTATTACAAGAAGTCATCTAAGTTCTACCACAGCTAATTACATTTAGGTGTAAAATCAGTAATCAATTAAATTGGAACTCATTTACTAAAATTATAATTAGTTGATCTGTTTCGCCCCTGAGTTAAATGAAAAGGGGCTTACGAACTTGCTTAATTAATATTTCTCAAAAACACTGAATGCTGTTTGATGTTTGACTTATCTATCTCCTCTCGAAGTATAAAACAAGCAATCAAACGTCTACAAAGACATTTTCAAAAATCAGTCAGAGTAGAAATTTTTATTTCTACTTTATTAACCTTTATTACTAACTACTTTATTCTTTGGTACCTGAACTCTACTTTTCTGTTAGGTATTCTGAAACGGAGCTCGATGGCGCAGGTGGCTAGCGCGTTCGGCTGCGATCGTTGAAGTTAAGCAACTTTCGCAGTGGTCGGTCATTGGATGTGTGTCCAAAAATTTACTATCTCGAACTCCTCCGTGCTTCGGAAGGCACGTTAAGCCGTTGGTCCCGGCTGCATTTGCAGTCGTTAGCACCCACCAATCCGCACTGGGCCCGCGTGGTAGGTCATGGCCCAATCTCCCTATTCCATCCATAGGGAAGGCCTGTGCCCCAGCAGTGGGGACATTAATAGGCTGATGATGATGATGATTCTGAAACGAATGCAGTGAGAATCAGTGAGGAAATATGAAATTTAAAACACCTTAGTGCAGGTCGCGGCACGGAACTAGCGCTGAACAAAACACGTCAGGAATTGGAGTTGGACTGGGGGCCAATCGCCTAACGGAAATGCTTTGGAAAACGCTAACGCTTACGATTTCATTTTGTTATTTCTAGCCGCCTGAGGTTTTCAAATGCCTCGCGCTCTTTTTTTTCTTTTGCATTGGTACAAACAATATTATATTGAAGCTGCAACATGCAGGCCGGGAGAGTGAGGATGGCTGGTGTGGCAGGTAGAACTGCTGTTTCAGCTATTTTCGCGTCTGGACTTCACCTTCACTTAACATCAGGTGGGGTGGAGTTATTTGTCGGACCTATCTATAAAAAAAATATGCGTGAGGTATTTGAAAACCTTCGGCGGTCAGAAATAACAAAATAAAATCGAAAGAGTTAACGTTTTCCAAAGCATTTCCGTTAGGCGAATGGCCCCCTGGAGAGCCAATCGGTGCAACGCACGCCCACCCGCGCACCTCGTTTCCCCCCAACACATCTTAATATTTACTTCTGCGCAATAACGGGCAGCGCTAGAGCTTCGTGCCGCGACTTATACAGATTCCTTTATTATCCTTGATCTGGTTTACAGAAGTACCATTCTTTGATTTCTTACTTATTTTAGACACGTATTATTTGTATGGATACCTAATCCATATCCTAGTCTTAAATAAAAATCATCATCATCATCATCAGCCTATTAATGTCCTTAGATTAAAACAAAAAGGGTAGATACGGTACGCTCATACTTGCATCAAACAAAAAATGAACCCACGGCAGCGCGAAAGGGACGGCGAGATCCGCGTCACTGCATTACCGACCCGAACGAAACAGCACGTTAAGTTTCAACGGCAGCGCGAACGGGACGGCGAGATCCGCGTCACTGCATTACCGACCAATCACGCGACCAGTACTCGACGTCACTACCGAATGAGATTCAAAACAAACAGCAATTTTTATGAAAAAATATATTTTATAGTACTTACGAATGAAAAGTGATGCCGTGGGTTTTATTTCTAGTTCTTGAGTAATTTGAGCACTTTTTCAAAACGTACTTAGGCATTGTTTTATCATATAAACACAAAATATTATCAATATTTCTTTTTGGCGTTCACATGTATGTACATCGTTTGCATGTCAAGTTGTGACTAAAGCGATTAGGGTCGTGGACCACAATTTGTGCGGATCACTTTTGTGAGGCTAGTGCCGTATCTACTCTTTTTGTTTTAATCTAAGTTAATGTCCCCACTGTTGGGGCCTTCCCTATTGACGGAATAGGTTAATGGGCTAAATACCACGCGGGCGCAGGCCCAGATGCAACCGGGGCCAACGGATCAACGCGCCTTCGAGGTAGTTCATTTTTTGTTTGACGACCTCCGTGGCCGAGTGGTTTGTACGCCGGGTTTCATGGCTGTCGCCGACTCGAGAGGTCCCGGGTTCCAATCCCGGTGGGGGCAGATGTTTGTGTGATGAATACGTGCATTTGTACTCCAGTCATGGATGTTTAATATGTATTCATATAAATATACTTATATATGTACAGTATATATATTCTATCCGTTACCCTAGCATCCCATAACACAAGCCTTATAGTGCTTACTTTGGGGCTAGGCTAATTGGTGTGAGTGTCGAAAATATAAAAAAAAAAAAAAATGATCGACCATTGCGAAAGTCGCTTAACTACACAATCACAGCTGAACTGGCTAACTATTTACGCCAACGAGCGCCAAATTACAAACACGTTAATGAAATGGCAATAGTAATGCTTTGCTTACCATACAAAGGGTTTGTATAAATTGCTTAAAATAATCAGTCATCATCATCATCAGCCTATTAATGTCCCCACTGCTGGGGCACAGGCCTTCCCTATGGATGGATTAGGGAGATTGGGCTATGACCCACCACGCGGGCCCAGTGCGGGTAGGTGGGTGCTAACGACCTCAGATGCAGCCGGGACCAACGGCTTAACGTGCCTTCCGAAGCACGGAGGAGCTCGAGATAGTAAATTTTTGGTCACCCATCCATTGACCGACCACTGCGAAAGTTGTTCAACTTCAACGACCGCAGCCGAACCCGCTAACCACTGGCGCCATCGAGCTCCTCATATTTAGTAATTTGATGATTTTATCTTTCGCAACAGGGTATGCCGACACCTTGGAAGAGCATTGTAACTTCTCTTCCGTTCTGGGCTATCCTGTTCGCTCACTGCGGGCAGAGTCTGGGATTCTGGACTCTTCTCACGGAGCTGCCTTCATACATGAACAATGTCCTAGAGGTCGACATTAAAAATGTAAGTATATTATTTATGATATTGTTGAACGTGATCGTTCTACCGCATCACAAAAAATAGTAAAATAGTATTTGCAAATATTCTACATTAACTTACAATAGGAAAAATAAATCTACTGTTTACTTCTCAAGTAAAGTCAAAATCATTATTAAAGGGGTAAATGAGGCGCTCAAAAATTACGATTTTTTGCAAAAAATGTGAAAGGGCTCTTAATAAGTGGTGTGTGTGAAAACCTTAGAAACAAATAGGTAGGTATTTGAATAGTATCAACTTATAATTTTTATTATTTTAAAGCATGTAACTGCTTGATGTTTAAATCTAAAGAAAATATAACTAGAAAAAATTCCACGCGGACCAGGCAGCAGACGGGACTCGAACCCGCACCCTTCGCAATCCGGGCGAATGCACTGACCAATTATGCTACCGCGGCCCTGACGGTCGCGTCTAAATTCTTCTAGCCATTCTTAAGCTGCAAGGCAGCGTCATTTCTTCGCATTGTAGGTAACCCACAATGTCAAATGAATACTTTTACAAGTATTGAACATTTGAAAGAAGTGCATTCGCCGGGATTGCGAAGGGTGTGGGTTCGAGTCCAGTCTGCTGCCTGGTCCGCGTGGAAATTTTTTCTAGTTATATTTTCTTCAGTATCAACTTCTGTATTCTTTAAAATGTGTATGAAAATTTAAAGTGAAACTGAATTATCATTTCACCGTAATATAAATCATACTTAACGCAGTGTTGTAGCATCCTGCATACCATAGTTGTTTGTGAATTTTAAACTTCTATTTAATATTCATAGAGAGTACGAACCTACATTTTAGGAAAAACATTTTGAAAGTTGCTTAATACCTCTCATTTGTGAGCGTATACAGATCTTTTAACTATAATGAGAAGTTATTAAGGTCAAGCGACTTGTGAAATTTGACCAAAACTGGGCAGCGCTTGAATATGTCACAAAATACCTAATAGTTTCGGTTTCAGCATTATACTTGGGATGAAAATAAGTGTGTTTTAGAAAACGGCCTTTGGAATTAATATCCGGATTTCGTCACTAGGCGTCTCGCAGACTAGACGGCCACTACATCAGTGGTCGCAACGACCAGATTAACTAAAGAAACCGTTTGAAATGAACGTCGCGCACTTGGCCGCACGACGTTGGTACGGCTGGTCGTTGCTGGCAAATTATGTATAGTTTGCTATGAGCGCTCGCGCACTGGATCTGCGACCGTGAATGAGGGCAGGCTGCGACCAGCTCAGTATCGACGAGTTTTTTCTGCAATAAGTTTTGCTACAGTGTTATTTTTTATCTTATGCTAGGTCTTAGGTTAGGTCTTTGTGTTCGCTTAACAATAAAGTCCCAAGCAATATCCTAGAGTTAACCATAAATAAATTTAAAGATATTATAAAAAAAAACTTATTAAAAAAGCTTATTACAAAGTGTCTAATTATATTACAGACAAAAATGCTTGGGTTTGAACTGTTTCAATTATTCTAACAGGTTTTCTATATTAAATAAATCATAATTGTACTGACGTTATAACAACATAATGATTTGTAAATGTTGTTACATTAGACTTTTAATGTTGGTGTGTTTTTTTCGCTCGTTTTTCTCCGCAGCTAAAAATATGTCCATAACGTAAGTGGTAGGAAAAAAATTTTTGGACGTTTCTAAAGAGTTGTACTATACATCCAATTTGAATGAAGACATATTGATTTCTGATTTCTGATTCATTAAATTAAGAATCTACCAGCACTGTAGCCGCAAACTCTCAATCGTATTTTCTGCGACCAAGGTTGCGGCCACGGCCACAACTGGTGTCTAGTTCGCGAGATGCCTTAGCTAAGTTTTGATAATATTATAATGATAATATTGAGTGCACGTCACAGGAATCATTTTGAAAATTACAAACATTATTTTCAGAACGGCCTACTATCCGCACTGCCTTACATGTCGATGTTCATTCTCAGCTTCGTGTTCAGCTGGCTGGCAGACTTTCTGGTTAACAGGAACATTATCACTTTGGTCACGTCCAGAAAGATATTCAACACCATCGGTGGGTATAAAATATTCACTCCTCCTGAACAGATAGCAATGACGAAAAAATAATAAATATTTCTAACACACACACACACGCACGCACGCACGCACGCACACACACACACACACACGCACGCACGCACGCATACACACAAGCACACACACACGCACACACACATATAAATATACATACAGATGGAGCTAAAGAAGTTTCACTTCAGTCATGTGGTCATAAGCACACTCGTTTTTTTATTTCATCTTTTTCTGTTTAGTTTTTAAAATATGCTGTGAAAACCAACAAAATATTTTCTTTCTTTATATATGTATTTGCTACCCGTTTTTGTTTTTTTTTTGTTTTTCACACACACACACACACACACACACACACACACACACACACACACACACATACACACATACACATACACACACACACACACACACCCCAATTAGCCTAGCTCCAAAGTAAGCACTGCAAGGTTTGTGTTATGGGATACTAAGGTAACGAATAGAATACATTAAAAGTGTAACTTTTTAGAAATGCATAGGTATAGATATCCATGACTTAGGTACATAGGCTCGTATTCAACACACAAACATTTGCCCCAGCGGGATTCGAACCTTCTGAGTATACTAAGCATCATAGGCGATGAGGAGGTGACTAAACACCTCGAGCCTCTTCAATTACGCCGTGACGTGGCGTCATTTAGCGCGTTCTATCGTCTTTACCTCGCGAGTGCAAAACACTCGCTGTGGAGTTATTCTCCCTTATTCCACCTTCCCCTTTCCTTCAGAGGACCACGCGCGCTGGTCTACGATGTCACCGACTAACTGTGGTCACTATTCTAACGCGAACAAATAAATTGGTGACACGTTTCTTTGTCGCACTATCTGTAAATGGAATGCTCTGCCCGCTCACGTGTTCCCTCCCTCTTACAACCTGGATCATTTAAAAGTCGCGTGCAGAACTAACATGCAAGCCGACAGGGTGAGGAAGGCTGGTGTGGCAGGTAGAACTGCTGTACTGGCGTCTATCTATCTTTGCGTCTGGACTTTACCATCACTGAACATCAGGTGGAGTTCAGTCATTTGTCGGACTTATCTTTAAAAATAATATTATCAACAGCCTATCCTAGTCCACTGCTGAACATAGGCCTCTCCAATTGCACGCCACTCAGATCGATTTTGGGTTACTCGCATCCAGCTCCTGCCAGCCACCTTGCGCAAATCGTCACTTGATCGCGCCTGAGGACGTCCTACACTACATTTGCCTAGACGCGGTCTCCACTCCAGAACTCGTCTACAACGGTTATCGGTGCTTCGGCAAATATGGCTAGCCCACTGCCACTTCACTAATCCGGTGGGCTATGTCGATAACTCTGGCTCTCTGTCGGATTACCTCATTTCTGATGCTTTCCATAGCGCGCTGACCGACTTTTAACTTGTGGACCAGCTGTACCGTCAGTGTCCACGTCTCGGCTCCGTATGTCATCACAGGTAGGAAGTTAAAAAGAATATAGTAGGTACTTGCCCCACCGCAGACGATGAATGAGCGAGTATAGCTAGAAACTAGAAACGGGTTGGCAAGCAGTGGACAGCGAGTGTGTAGATCTCTTTGACGACGAACGAGCATCACTGAGCGAATGCCGCTGAGCGAGTTTCGCTGAGCGAGTGACGCTGAGCGAGTGACGCTGAGCGAGTGTCACTGAGCGAGTGTCGCCGAGCGAGTGTAGCTGGGCTAGTGTCGCTGAGCGTGTGTCGCTGAGCGAGTGTCGCTGAGCGAGTGTCGCTGAGCGAGTGTCGCTGAGCGAGTGTCGCTGAGCGAGTGTCGCTGAGCGAGTGTCGCTGTGTGAGTTTATTCTTTGATCGCTCTTGTCACTAGGCGATAAACCCTTTATGCATCTCTTTTGTATATCTATTGTACGTTTCTTGAACGAGAAAATAGCCGATAGTTCGTCCCTATCTCGCCGGCATCAGTGGAACAACTGCCCTAGTTAACATGAATTTTTATGGCATCAGAGGAGCACCATCTGGTGAAAAGTGCATCGTACAACGATAACATTGTAGCGAGATTGCGAAGTTTTCTTTAGAACACCCAGCGAAAAATATGAACATTCAAAGTTTTGGATTTTAGTCCTACACGCAGTCTTTTGTTTGAATGAATAGTTTTAGGAATTTTGGAGTAAATCGTATCTTTTTAATATGCTGATTACGACAGTTCTATAATGTATATATTTTTTGAGTGTGAATGCTGTTGGTCGTAGGTGACCTTTACAGCGTCACCGGGTTTGGGGACGGCGAGATCCTAAGGGGACCTCAAGCCGAGAATTGGCGAGTGCCTCTAGAGGTATTCCAGGATGGCATCTCCCCACGGTGAAGTCTCATCTCCGTCTGGAGCCTCTAGACCACTCAAAACAGTTATAATTATTTAGTAGTTAGGAAGTCGTATTTCTTATGGCAGCCATGAGGTCCCACCACAAGATTACCACATAATATCCAGACTATACTTCGCTCGCGGTAAAGTTACTTTATTGAGTATCTCACAGGAAACCATTTTTTTTTACTATGTCTGTCCTATGTCAAAATCTAGGTAATCTTTGTGTGCCAAATTTCATTCAAATCCGTTCAGCCGTTCTTGCATGATTAAGCAACAACTTTCACATTTATAATATAAGTATATAGTTCATTTATATATATAATGTCAAACCTTTAATTTCCGTTAACCAGTTACTATTAGACTGAAACAACTCGTAATCGTAAAAAAGGCGTATTATTCTGTTAATGAATTTTATAAATAATAAATAAACTTAGTATTTAACTTGCTTTAATTTAATTTAATTTAACTTAATTATATTTGACCTGTTTAATTAGATTTGATTTAATTTAACTTGTTATGGTATGATTGTGATTTGACTATGATGATATGATATAATTTGACTTGATTAATTTGTGAAATTTGTTTTAATTTTGTTGGACTTGATTTGATTTAATCTGAATTAATCTACAATATTTTTGCGCTGTAAAACAAACTTGAAGTAAACTGTAAAACAAGTTTGTTGCAACACCCCAACGAGGTCATGTATCACTCACTATTAAGTATTATGTATTTAGTATTAAGACCTTATTATAAATATTCAACAGTGCCACATAGACGAAATACCTACATTTCGTACATTACGTGACTTCGAGTGCGTGTTAATTTTTTGATGCCTAACATTTTTGCAGAATAATAATATATTATTCCAGGTAACAACATATATGTGTGCCAAAATTCATTTAAATCCATTGAGCCGTTTTTGCATGATAAAGTAAAAAATTTACAACATATAGGTAAAACTAGCAAACCAGTGAGCTAAATGTTCACCAAAAACTGATTTAAAAAAAAAAATTAGTTGAGAACTTCGGAGATTTTGTGTGGTTTCGTTTGAAATTCGTGATTTCTCGAAAACCGGAAGTGCTACGTTACTCAAATCCGGTTTGTAGTCTTATCAGACTATTCTTAACTTATAACTTAAATATTCTCTTTATCTATCTCTTACGGTTTGGCCGCTGAAACAGCACCACAGACAGACGGACGGACTTGTCTAATAGATAAGAGATATGGATAATTGAAGTTATACTTCTTTAGGCGCGTTATGAAAAAATGATGAGAGTGAAATTTTAAGATGCGCGCGCATCACTGTAACACAAAATTTTAACTGCTGCTACTTTTGTGTTTACCGCACATTAAGAAAATCTATCAACAAAATAGAAATAGAATCTCTATTTAGTGGGTGCTAACGACTGCATTGTGAAGGCCTAACAAAAGTATTTATTAATCTGGAACAACGGTACCAAAGCGCGATTCAGGAGATTACAGCGCCATCTCTTGACCATTGGTGTAGTAGAACCAAAAACCACATCTTTATTTTTTGTAATAAAGTAACAGTTATAGGTATTCATGTTTATAATATTTATCCACGTGATTCTAGTTTCCTTTTGTCTTCTGTGTCCTTTTCCAGACTTTTTATTAATTTATTGTAATTAATTATTTGCATGCAATTATTGAGGAGCTCGATGGCGCAGGTGGTTAGCGCGTTCGGCTGCGATCGTTGAAGTTGAGCAACTTTCGCAGTGGTCGGTCATTGGATGGGTGACCAAAAATTTACTATCTCGAGCTCCTCCGTGCTTCGGAAGGCACGTTAAGCCGTTGGTCCCGGCTGCATTTGCAGTCATTAGCACCCACCAATCCGCACTGGGCCCGCGTGGTGGGTCATGGCCCAATCTCCCTATTCCATCCATAGGGAAGGCCTGTGCCCCAGCAGTGGGGACATTAATAGGCTGATGATGATATGATGATGATGATGATGCAATTAAAAACTAATTTTAAAAGATGCGAAAGAAGGATAACTTCTCACGCGCCTACATAAGTACACGCACTTATTTTTTTTATATATCCAACAGTGCCATATAGTCGACCTAAACTTACATTATATGAACGGCGTTTGGTTTCAGCGTTCTGGGGTCCAGCTGCAGCGCTTCTCGTGCTGTCATACCTGCCTCCCAACAACCTGGCTCTAGCGGTCGTAATAGTTGCAATCGCTGTGGGCCTCAACGGTGCACATTACGTAGGATTCATGGTAAGATGGCCGAAACATCACCATCATTCTTAGATTAAAACAAAAAGGGTAGATATGGTACGCTCATACTTGCATCAAACAAAAACTGATCCCACGGCAGCGCGAACGGGACGGCGAGATCCGCGTCACTGCATTACCGACCCGAACGAAACAGCGCGATAAGTTTCAACGGCAGCGCGAACGAGACGGCGAGATCCGCGTCACTGCACTACCGACCAATCACGCGAACAGTACGATGTCACTACCGAATAAGATTCAAAACAAGCAGCAATTTTTATGAAAAAATATATTTTGCAGCAATTTTCAAAAACACACTTAGGCATTGTTTTATCATATAAACACAAAATATTAGCAATATTTCTTTTTGGCGTTCACATGTACGTCGTTTGCATGTCAAGTTGTGACTAAAGCGATTAGGGTCGTGGACCACAATTCATGCGGATCACTTTTGTGAGGCTAGTGCCGTATCTACCTTTTTTGTTTTAATCTAAGCCATCATTAGCCTATTTATGTAAGTCGTGCTTTCGTACCTGCCTCCCAAAAACCTGGCTGTGGTTGTCATGAACAACGATATTAAATACCCTAGATACAACATCACGAACAAAATCGTGACCGAAACGTGTCCAAAAGGTACATTGGACGATCTACGTAGCTCCGTAAGGTTCCGTAAGGCGTTGTGAAAAACAATATAAGGCATTATTTAAACATTGAAAGTCACCTTTAATGCATACTGTGTAAGGTCCTGTTTAAAATGCATGTGTTAAAGAGTTATGACAGTTCGAAATGCAAGCTCGTAAAATTTTACGACTTATTGCTATATGTGGAAGAATAGACCTTATTTCTTTGATTTTACGCGCAATTCTGAATGCGCTGTTAGCAATATAGTAAGTATGGACTGCGAGGAAGAGAGACGGCTATATAACCGACAATGCGTTTGAATATCACAAATATTTTCTATTAAATCAGTTTATAGTAACTATTCAAAATAAATTTACTTCATATGCATTATTAAATTAACAAACATTGATGAGATACCTGTCGAAAAACGACACTTTACGTACTATAAGTATTTTTCGCATTTTTTCACGGAGCTCTGCGGCATGTTTGACGACCTCCGTGGCCGAGTGGTTTGTACGTCGGGTTTCATGGTGTCGCCGACTCGAGAGGTCCCGGGTTCGAATCCCGGTGGGGGCAGATGTTTGTGTGATGAATACGAGCATTTGTACTCCAGTCATGGATGTTTAATATGTATTTCTATATAAATATACTTATATATGTACTATATATGTATTCTATCCGTTACCCTAGCATCCCATAACACAAGCCTTACAGTGCTTACTTTGGGGCTAGGCTAATTGGTGTGAGTGTCGGAAATTCTTATTTATATTTATTTATTTATGTTGATTTTTCATCGATCCGCGCGTGACGGTGAACCAAGAAGTGCTTGTGTGGAGTTTAAGCACTTTTTCATTGGGACACATTTTGAGCGCACGTGGTGTATGTATCTAGGGTTTTTAATATCGTTGGTCATGACACTCAATCACGTAGGATTCCTGGTAAGTTGGCCAAAAAATCATCATTACCATCAGCCTATTAATACCCCCGCTGCTGGGGCACAGGTCCTCCCTATACGTGGGTACTATTGGCGGATGCTAACGCAGATGCAGCCGGAACCAACGGCTTAACGTACCTTCCGAAACACGAAGGAGCGCGAGAAATTATAATACTAACATTTAATTTGAAGAAAATATCTAAACTACACTTTACAAAGAAATATTAATTAGTAATACCACAATTTAATTATTTCTTTGATATTGTTAATTTTCTGTTAAAATACGAGCAGAGCGATGACAACGAATCGGTTAAATGACTCTGTTTCTAATGCCTTATGTGCTTCAAAACAAAAATTTGAACATTTTAAATGAAATTTCTATTGGAATTATATCTAATTTTAATTAATAGAAAACAGTCAGTATGAGAAGCTCGATGGCGCAAGTGGTTAGCGCGTTCGGCTGCGAACGTTGAAGTTAAGCAACTTTCGCAGTGGTCGGTCATTGGATGGGTGACCAAAAATCTACTATCGAGATAGTAGATTTATTGTATCGGACTCGAGAGTCCGAACTCCTCCGTGCTTCGGAAGGCACGTTAAGCCGTTGGTCCCGGCTGCATCTGCAGTCGTTAGCACCCGCCAATCCGCACTGGGCCCGCGTGGTGGGTCATGGCCCTATCTCCCTATTTCATCCATAGGGAAGGCCTGTGCCCCAGCAGTGAGGACATTAATAGGCTGATGACGATGATGGTGATGAGCCAGTTTACGAATTGGTACCTCTGTTTCACGCGGATTATTTTTTGTATTACACTACAAATTTGGGGTGATTTTTATGTACACATCACAGATACCAAAACAGCACGACACATACGCACACATGCCTACTATATAATTTGAACGTGTTATTAACAGCATTAAAGAAATAGGAGTAGATAATTCCCCCCTTGAGTGTTATAAGCCTCTACGAGCGAGGAGGAATAGTTGGTTCAGACACACGGTTGCCAAGTTGGCTAGCGGCTGCAACTAACATTGAATTATTACATCAATTAATTTTAATAATCTCAAGCGAAGAGCCGAATCTAAGGTTAAGAAGATTCATAAATAACTAGTGGCCCGCCCTCGCTTCGCTTCGGTGTAGAGCTGTAGTTTAGACTATATTTTTGTTCTCAAGCTTCTATTAAACACAATGACTTTCTTTAAATACCTAATTACTAAAGACACGCGCCGCCGCTCCCCCGGCCAGTACTGCCCAAACCGGTATGTTCCTGCATTTTAAATCTGTAATATCTTCGAAAGTATTCATTTAAATTACATGCTGTAGAGGGTTTTATTGATCTATATTACACGCACAATGTATTTAAGGTACTTAATTGGATAAGGATTAATGCTGTATTGCTTAAAATCGCTTGTTCGTAAATAAGCCATTATTTTCTCGTAATAAGTAATTAAAAAATGGTTATTGTGGGTTATACCAAAGAGATAGGCGTATACCATCGCGGACTTTATTGTAGACCTTTTTAAGGTGTACAATACTGTAGTACATTATTTTGATCTATCTCGTTGGGTTCAGCCAGCGTTTGCAATGTAAGCGCAAAAAAATGTGTTTATTTACGACCTTACATTAAAAACCTCTAAAATTATCTGTGTTTCTCTACTATATTATGCATGTATTATACATATAAACCTTCCTCTTGATTCCGTTGTGTAGTTTCAAAGATTTAAGCATACAAAGGGACATAGGGACAGAGAAAGCGACTTTGTTTTATACTATGTAGTGATGAAACGCCTACGGTCAAATATTCCAGAGCTTTTTCGAAGTTTTCATTACAGACAGACCCCTCTTTCCCAGTGGGCACTTTGGGCAAGTGCTCAGGGCCCCGCGATCGATTGGGGCACCCTCAGATCAATTACAAAGTCCCTAATTAATGTCAGATCACCAAACGATAACCAATATTTATTACCAAAAAAACTTATATAAATTGATGAAATCGAACCTAAATTACTGACTACAATACCAATTTACTAGCTTTTACATAAGCAAAGCTATTCTACTCTCGCCCAAAAATAAGGATTTCCGACTTCAGCATACTAAGATAAATTTAAATATATATATAATGGTATACTAAGCACATACACATTTTAAAGAAAAATCATCAGTAGTACACTCATCAGTATGACTCGCTCCATTTCAAGTCATAATCCACATCAAAGTCATAGGGGCCTAATTATCCTATATGCCCATGGCCTCCAATAACTCATTTCTTTGTCGGCTGGGATTTGCAGCACCACGTAGCCCCAGAAGAAGGAGGATAGGATCACCGCCTGGATACTGTGCGACCAGTCGAACGTAGGGGGCGCCTGGAAAGATAAATACAATGACACATGAGGTTTTAGGGCTCCACGAGGTTTGAATCGCGTTCTATAGTCTGTACCACGGCGAGTCTGAGGAGAGTTCTGAGGAGTTATTCTCTCTTATCCCACCTTCCCCTTTCCTTCAGAGGACCACGCGCGCTGGCCTACGTTGTCACCGTCTTACTGTGGCTACAATTCCAACGCGTACAAAGAAATTTGGTGACTCATTTCTTTGTCGTACTATCCGTAAATGGAATGCTCTGCCCGCTCACGTGTTCCCTCCCTCTTACAACCTGTGATCCTTTAAACGAGGCGTGAAAAAGCAACATGCAGGCCGGCAGGGTGAGGATGGCTGGTGTGGCAGGTAGAACTACTGTATCAGCTATCTTCGCGTCTGGACTTCACCTTCATTTAACATCAGGTGGGGTGGAGTCATTTGTCGGACGTATCTATAAAAAAAAAATAGGTTAAAGACGGCCCTGATTACAGATTTCTTAATTATCTCCGTATTACAGAACACTAGTTAATAAAATATTGGTAATAGATATAAATCATTAAATAGTCGATTCGAACGAAATCAACAGTTTTAAGAAAGGTAGGCCAAAGTAGACTTCCCGTCTTGGGAAGTAACCTCCACCATTACAGAAGATCACTACAAGATTTTATCGCGGGCTTTGAGCGCGGCGACCGAATCAAGAAATTCCATAACGAAAATAATCTGACAAGAGTGCATATGATACCAATTTTCGCCTTCCCATTATCGATCTAAACGGCGCAGTGTGTTAAATTTTTGTCACGGGACCAACGTTCGACGCATCACCGCGGTCGTCGGTTCAAATCCCGCACTCGTATTTTTTATTATTACTTTTTTCCTTTTTTATTTATTTGTTTTAGACCCCAGCACCTTCTTTTTATTTGTTTGCCTTTTATTTAGACTTTATAATTATAATTTAAATTTTTAGACTAAATATGGTAAACTGTGGAGCTTGTGAAGTTTTTTGGCGCCGGGCAATGCTGTTGTTTGCTGTGCTCGCCCAATAAAATATCATAAGGCCTGCCTCGCCGTCTATTAATATCAAAGAAAAAACTTGAATTAATATCAATAAAAATAAATAATTAAAATTACATGAGTTGTTGCTATGCAATAGCTTTACCGCGGCAGTCCCCGAGTGCCACACGTTTTTCTTTTCTATTAAAATTTTTAGCAAGTCAAACGTCATATCGCGAAATCATATTGATATCGGATCCTAATTTTTCCCGTAATAAGTGGGTTAATAGCAAACGTATGTAGTTTAAGCTGTCTGGGAAAGACTAGACTTTCCAAGAACATACTGAAATTCAGGGTAAGTAAAACTAGGAGAACAGGTGGGTATTAAATTTGGAAGCTTCTCTGAAACTTAGATGCTTCAGTTTAAGTAAACTAAGTTAGTTTTGATAGCAATATCTTAAAGTGAAGCCTAAAAGTTTTCTCCGTGAAATTGTATTGTAGCACGTTAGATATTCATTCAGATTCTACTTACTAGTACTGGTAGTACTGGAGTTTAAGTTTCAGGTTGACAAACATATGTGAAACATTTTTGAAGTGAAAACTTCTTTAGCGGCGTTGTACACTTTTTTGTACGGTAAAAAAATTTTAAACTCGCGTCAGACACGTGGGCTGATCGCATCATGACACACAATAAAATTGGAAAGGTTGTTGAGTTTCAATATATTGGACGAAACATAGTTATATTTTATTTTACCGTATTATAATGATAAGTCTCTATCTAGGACGTCCACGTGGCAGTTTTATTGCAAAGAAAATGTATTTTTTTACAATAGATGTCGCTAGGTGTGCTTAAATGTGATTCATGTAAGTTGATTTCTTTACAATAGATGTCGCTAAGTGCGCTTAAACGTGATTCATGTAAGTTGATTTTTCTGAGAGATAAACTATTTTAATGTAATATAAATTGTCATGTTTGTGTACGATAGCGCAGCAAATAAATATTGTATTCTACCACATACATGATAGTACTTATATACTGATAATCAAAGCAATTCGTGCAAAATTATTCCATAACCATTCCAAAATATCAAAAATGCACAACGTTAATATTCAAGTTTTCATTTCTGCCGGCACTCCCGGAGTGTAACCCGTCGTTTTTTGTTTGTCTTTATTTACTTGTATGGTTATTTTCTTCATATCTTTTCATACTCCCTATTAAGAGCGGACGAAAGCTAAGAGTCATTTGAGAAATATGTATTTTAAAAAAAAAATCCTGTCGCGCACTGGCCAATACCGTGCGAAAGGGACAACAGTAACTAACGCTGAAAATTGCGTATAAAAAAATGCATAATTTGAGATTTGGCTCTCGACAATTTCCTCCTCGAAAATTAGATAAATATAAAAGAAGTGTTACCCATAGAATAATAAGTAGTTATACTAGGCCAGTAGGCCTTTATGCTTTGCTTTTATGTATAAACTTAGTAAATCTCCACACTAGACGACGTCTTTAGTGGTGCTATAAATTTGTTTATTTTTGAGGGCTTCTAGTTTATTATTATAGATACAAGTAAAGAATAAAGTCGTCAACATAAACTACTTTGTTCACAGTTATCGCATATAGACCTGTCGCCAAACTTCGCCAGCACATTACTGGGTATCACGAATGCTTGCGGGACCGTCTTCTCAATCATGGCACCGTTGAGTGTCACTGCAGTTGTTAAAGATGAGGTAATTAACCCTTTAAGTCTTTACTTCACTTTTGCTATTACTTCAATATGCAAAAATATTGTAACTAGGAGTTGCTTTGTATATGCCGCATCAAAGATATGGAATGATCTGCCACCACCTTTGCGGGCTAACATTTCAATGTCAACATAATAATTTCCAAAATAAATGTGAATTGTGTACTGTTTTTAGAAAAACAGTATTCTGCGGCAGAAACGGTTTTTAATTTAGATATTTGGATAATGTATGTATTTATTTTTTATCACTTTCCAAAGTTTTACTTGTTGGTATCACAAAATTGAGCATGTATTAGTTAAATAAGGTTGTGGTCTACCACTCAATATCAGTGACTTCCGGTAAAACGGCTGTCTAAGACTGAATCACATTCCTTTTTTGTTTTAAAAAAAACATTGCCATGTTAAATTTAAAGTTTTCTGTATTTTTATATGTAGTTTTTGATACAGATAAATTCTTATTATTATTATTGCATAAAACTGATGGAATATTTTGACGAAGTCGAAGGACAAATCTGATAAAATTGAAGTTTTTTTTTCATCACTAGATTTTTTAAATCTAAAATTTTTAAATTGCAAGGTTGGTTATCTGTGAAACATTATCAATACGTTACGTAGATTACAAATCTAACAGTATGATAATACAGAAATGGAGGAATATCTATTACAGTAGTTTTTTCATGTAGTCCGAATAAAGACACAATTTACATAAATCGTCAAATGCACTACTGAAAATACACTTAAAATTGAGTCATATAGTTACAAAGGCGGCAAAGTAGGGCGAGCCAAATATTTGGCAAATCAAAAAAAAACTGTTTAGTCTCGTCTTTAAGGGAGGATTTTTATATCAGAACTACAAATCGTAGTGAAATGTCAATATTTTATCCTCCCTTTAAGACGAGACTAAACAGTTTTTTTTTTGATTTGCCAAATATTTGGTTCCCCCTACTTTGCCGCCTTTGACACTATACGACTCAATTATAAGTATGATCCTCTGAATAGGGATGAGGACTAACATTTTTTGGAGCCGTAGTTTTTCTTTCTTCGCATCAAAAAATTACAGCAGATTTTGAATTGAAATGTCGCATTACGTCTTGGTATAATTTATACTCAAAAATAACGTCACTCCCAAACTTTTAATCTTTGATTTGGTATAATACTCAGAAGTGACGTCACTCCCAAACTTTTAAGCGCTTTATCTTTGATATATTTTGGTTGATTGTCAGAACAATTGTTTACCATTATTTTTTGATAATCTCACTGTCAAGCTTAATACAATTATATCATCCTTATTTTATTGCTCTAAAAGAACCTCTTACATAAATTTAAGCTTGCCAGCTTACAAATACATTGTACTTACTTTTTCATATTTCGCAGAAACTCGCGTCGGAGTGGAGAAAGGTATTCTTCATATCAGTAGCCTTGTACTTCCTGGGCAACCTGTTCTATATACTTTTCGTGTCTGGTGACATCCAAAGTTGGAATGAGCTACCTTCAACAGGAGAAGTTGGTAAGGAAATGTATTTTAGTACTCAATTGTTAAGCATTCAACTGCAAGATTTATAGATGCACTAACATAGTGCAATTATTACATGGGTAGAAAAACATAATACTGCTAAAAATCTGAACTGCCATCCACAACAGTATACACACCATAAGTAAAATTATGGCAAAACAAAATAAAAACTTATTTTTTGACGTGACAACGTCTTAAATTAGGTTGCGGCTGGGAGTCACTTATGAAAAAGTGTAACGCTCGGTAACGTTACGATGAGTCTCTCGTGTTAAGTTTAAGTTTACATGTACAATGTTTTAGTAAACAAAATATATTTCTATAGTTAAAATTTGTGCAATTCTTATTTTCATTCAATTCCTTGTTCCTATTGTGCAATTTAATTATATTCATATCAATAAATATTCTACCGAGAAAAAGACGTTGTCACGTAAAATCTTCGCCCGTAAAACCGACTTTACAGGCAACCATTTTTTCATTTTCAATTTATTTATTAATTAATTTGCATACAATAAAAACATCATTACAGCACAGAAACCTTAAGGATTTATCTATGTATACTGCAGAGTCGCTCCACAGCCAGTCACACCAAACAGCCTGTCTGGTTTTCTAAATAATATTCTTTTAACATTTTAATAAAGGGTCTACAAGATTTTATTTTATTTTGAATAGCCTCTGGTAGTTCATTGGTGAATAAGGGTAACAAATACATAGAAGTTCTGGTACCATAAATATTGTTGTACTTTGTAGTAATAAATAAATTATTATTTTTTAAGTTCCTAAGATTTAATGGTCTTTGATAATGGGCTAAATCTATTAACACAATAATAAAATGAGGTAACAATAAAAATAATGGAAATTAAGGATCTTGAGTTCCAGGGCTGAATAAACTTGGGACATTTCTTTTGAAATCTGAGGAATGGGAGTTGATTACATCAATAGCTTTGTTGTTTTTTGAAAATTCGTTCTAATTTCTTTACACTCTGACAATAGGATTATAATAGGAGGAGTTATTTTTAAAACCTTGAATTGCGAATGTATTTGGAAGGCGAGATCTATACCACGTTTTAACTGAGAGTGACGAAAGCAAAGCTGGCGCATCGATGTATGAGTGCAGAATCTTATGAAGATAAAATAAATTATATCATTACGCCTGGCCTGTAAGGAGACAATACAAAATTTTAACAAACGGTCTGTATAATTATTAAGGGAACGACCATATTTGAATTTACGAGAAAGAATTCTCAAGAGTTTCCCCTGAACTCATTCAATTCTAGTAACATGTACAACATAGTATGGCGACTATACAGGGCAACAGCGTTCAAGAATACTTCGCGCCAGGCTGAAAAAGAGACAGATAATGCTTTGTGGCATTTTAAATTGTTTAGTTGATCTAATGGTAAATTCTGTTCAGCATTCTGTTACTTTTTTTACAATATGATCATAGTGAGGACGGAAGCTAAACTTATCACGGAAAAACACACCTAAATAATATATTGTACAAGTTAGAGTCGGTCTTGCACACATCCCATTCAAAAATTCTTTCTCTGTTATGGGTAGTTTTTTATGAAGTTGGTCTCATTAAAGTTATTGCTATAATGTCAATTGTTCACCAATTTGTGATTTATGAGATACAGCCCGCTGAACGATGGGAAGACAGTGGAGGCTTGATATATATATCAAGATAATATTTTACAGCAAGCGTGAGGTCAGTGTTACCAATCCTCACCAAAATTTTACCCTAAGTATTTTTTAAATTCCCCTAAAATCCCCTAAATATAGAAATTTATATGTACCTACTAATCTTATTACCTAAATTCTTTCGTTGCTCATGAATTAAAATGTTACATATTTAGTTACAGTAAATTATTTTATTGAATAAATACATTTTCCGAATGGGAAATCATACGAAAATGAGCTGACAGGCTGTTAAATCTTATTTAGCTGTTTTGACTGGTGGAAGGCAAAGAACTTTAGTCCATACAGCCTTAGGAAACAATCTGCCACACAGTCAGTTCAGTCGTTTCATATCGTGGTGCGTTCCATTCTATGCAAAAACTGAAAGAAAACACACGCTTTGTTTTTCGATTTAATTGCAAGTTTTGTTAAAAGCCCCTAAAAGAACCCCCAACAAATTTCAGCCCCTAAAAAGTCCGTTTTAACCCTACTAGCCCCTAAATCTGGGGGCAAAACGCCTAAGTTGGGAACCGAGCGTGAGGTAACATCGGTCAGTTTAGAATAAAGTCAATTGAACATCCCTTTAAAATTAAATTAATATGTATTATTGCCAATCTAATACAGACAAGACCCAACACTTCAAAAACATGAGTTGATAAAGATACAAAAAAATATACATTTATCGTAATAATGTTAAAAAAATCAGTTTTTACCATAATAGGGTATTTGACAGTATTAAAAAGAAAGTGATTGAATATTGGCAGGGGTTTTTACTATTTTTACAAAAATAAATATTCATAATTTTACTAAAAACCCACGAAAAAGATAATAGTTTTCTTATCCATTGTCAAGCGACCCAAAACGCTTGGGATTGGCGGTGCCTAAAATGACGTCACACGCAAGTAAACTTCCGGTTAAAGTGATCATTGTATCGTTTGACGTTTTAATAACAGTCGTGTGACGTCACACACTAGTCGACGAGACGCCATTTTGTCCAGAGAAACGTTTTGGCGGCAACTTGAAAATGGAGTTTTTGATTTGGTTATTTTTACTGAAATACACAACAGAATGATGAATATCCACTTTTTACGGACTCCACAAACATTAGTCAATCACGTGAGATCATTTTCTAAAACTTGTCGAATACCCTATTATAACTAGCATTAGTTTAATTTGCCATTATTCCACTATACTTACATGGAAGTAATAACCGACGTTAGAAACTTATATATAACTAGCAAACCAGTGAACCAAATGTTCACCAAAAAAAAAATGTATTTAATTAATTGAGAACTTCGGAGATTTTGTGTGGTTTCATTTGAAATAGAAATCACGTGATTTCTCGAAAACCGGAAGTGCTACGTTACTCACATCCGGTTTGTAGTCTTATCAGACTATTCTTAACTTATAACTTAAATATTTGTTTCTTAGGTTTTCACGCACATCACTCATTAAATAAAACTAGTTTTTACGGGTTAATGCACGAAACTTTATTTATTTTTAAATAAAATCATTATTCTGACGATGCAGACCTGAAAAGGCTGCGAAACGTCAATAAATAAATAAAGTTTCGTGCATTAACCCGTAAAAACTAGTTTTATTTATAACTTAAACATTCTCTATATCTATCTCTTACGGTTTGGCCGCTGAAACAGCACCACGGACGGACGGATGGACTTGTCTAATAGATCAGAGATTAAAATCATTATAAATGGATATAATGGTTCGATTAATTATGCGTTCTTGTGCCACAATGTAGTCGACGCAGACGGTGCAACTTAACATTTATTATTAACTGCAATAAAATTAGCATACTGGGCTTCTCAAGCAGATATCAGGGAAGTTGGAATAATTACAATAAGGGGCACACGGTCATTGGCAAATTTCTTGACGTTTAATTAATTTAGTTAAATATTAAATAAATTATTATTGAATAAATTTTAGTTTAATAAAACCTAATATAGTTCGTTTAACATAGTTGAGTGCAACAAAAGATTTTTTTTTTTACTCAGATATATTCCAGCCGGCCCAGCCGCCAAGCAGTATTTTGGATTTTAACTAGTTTTTGTTATACTAGTAGCTTACATTAAATAAGTATATCAATTGGTAGGTAAATGTAGCTAAAGAAACGTGCCTTTTTAAGAAATTTAAGACATAAATATTTTATGTAAATAATCATAATGATCATTCACTTATATATAATAATATTGACATTAATGATCATAATGATCATTCACAATTAATTTTATGTTTATTTTTAATCTTTTCAGAAGGAGGTGTGAAAAAGAAGACTACCAATGTGACGGTCAGAAGACCCAGTATCGGTGAACAGAAATTCTGATCATATCGATAAAATGTGCTAAGAACTAGTCATAATATTTAATTAGGACACCTGTGACAATTATGTCTATCAATCAGTAATGGTACCTTGTGCGTATTTTTTTTTGTATGCAATGTAACAAATTGTTTCCTGGCCTAACTTTTTGTCAAACAGTGAGATGCTTTCTTATATGTATATGAAATTCGTTTTCCGCCTAGGACTTTTAAAATTAATAGGTATAGATCCATTTTCCATGAAATTTGACTTTCTTTATCAATTCAGCAGAATAAGGTTTACAGGAACTACTGTGTGAATTGTTTCGATATCTAGTAGAATAATTATCAAAATCCTGGTGTAAGTACAACTTCAAATAGTGAAATTTCAAATTCATACTGATTTATAGAATAGAATAGAAATAAATTTATTAGCCTTAAACACAGTCAGATTTACATAAATAAAACAAGACGAAATAGGCCAACTAGGTCCCTGCCTCAGCTTAATACTACAGCAACACCAGGGCTGCTGCAGCGCTGATAATTCTGGCAGAGCCTAAGGTTGATGACAGAGATAATAAATAAATAATAAAACAACAATAATACACAAAAATAACAACCATACTAATAAGTACATATCAAAGAGAAAAAAAATGGAATGGCTGACATGACAAGTGCAAAGATTTAATAAAAAAAAGAATGACTAATCTGTGGGAGGACAGAGTAAGAAAGAAAGAAAGAAAACCATTTATTGGTTACACAGCTTAAGTAGGTACATTAAAATAAAACAGAATATATCTATAAAAAAAAATAACATAACCACAAATAAAAACAAGAAAACTAAATTCAGGTGTTGCTGTGCAGGGCCAACAGGTCGCTGTCTCAGCTATGCTACTGTGGTAGTACTTTCGCGATACCACAGCAGCGCTGATTTTCAGCCAGCGCTTGAGCGAGTACACTGAACCTCAAAAAAAAATTTATACTGGCGACAAGATTTCACTTATTTATACTGGCGACATAAAGTTGTAAATAAATTAGATAGGTCTCCATTAAAATGTAGGTAACAGATAAAAAAAGATCATGAAAATGTTGTTCATTACCGAATAAACACAAGACAGAATGGACAGGAAAGCGATATTGAGAGACAAAAACTTGATGTTGATCATGATAAAGAAATAAAAATTAACGTAATTGTTTACAGTGATACTCATATTTATATTGATTAACTTCAAAACTATAGTAAGATAGGAATGAAATGGGTAGATAATACAAAGTATTATTTATTTTATCTGAATCAAAATAAAAAAGTAACATTTGGTGTTGTAAAACGATGACAATGACGTTATGATCGTGATCTGTCAAAACCATAGAGAAACGTTTAAATTCTTTATATGCCTTTGATTATGTGTGCGTGTGTAGCGACTAGCGTATCTACCATATGTAGTAGATATTTTGTGACGCTTCCGTTCAGTTATTACAGTATCTACGCATGTATAAAATCAATATCTAATCTTAGATTAAAACAAAAAGGGTAGATACGGCACTAGCCTCACAAAAGTGATCCGCAAGAATTGTGGTCCACGACCCTAATCGCTTTAGTCACAACTTGACATGCAAACGACGTACATGAGAACGTCAAAAAGAAATATTGCTAATATTTTGTGTTTATATGATAAAACAATGCCTAAGTGTGTTTTTGAAAAGTGCTCAAATTGCTCAAGAACTAAAAATAAAACTCACGGCATCACTTTTCATTCGTAAGTAGGTACTATAAAATATAATTTTTCATAAAAATTGCTGTTTGTTTTGAATCTTATTCGGTAGTGACGTCGAGTACTGGTCGCGTGATTGGTCGGTAGTGCAGTGACGCGGATCTCGCTGTCTCGTTCGCGCTGCCGTTGAAACTTAACGTGCTGTTTCGTTCGGGTCGGTAATGCAGTGACGCGGATCTCGCCGTCCCGTTCGCGCTGCCGTGGGATCAGTTTTTGTTTGTAGCAAGTATGAGCGTACCGTATCTACCCTTTTTGTTTTAATCTAAGTTCCTAATCAGGCTTTCTGCATATTTTTGAAAAGAATTAAAGCCAAAGAATGATATCGTAAAAAGCGCAAGTTACGCTAGCATTTCACATGGTAATTCATATTGTTGCTATTTGTAAATTCGACAGCAATATCTTCTTTTCATTTCTTTTGCTATTATAACTATATATGTCATCATCAGCCTATTAATGTCCCCACTGCTGGGGCACGGGCCTTCCCTATGGATGGAATAGGGAGATAGCCATGACATACCACGCGGGCCTAGTGGTGCTGAACTGACTGCTGATCCTTCCGGAGCACGGTGGAGCTCGAGATTGTAAATTTTTGGTCACCCATCCAATGACCGACCTCTGCGAAAATTGCTTCACTTCAACGATTGCAGCCGAATGCGCTAACCACTTGAGCCATCGAGCTCCTCTTTATATGTACTGTTGTCAAATGTACTAATATCTATCACGAATAGCTATTTAAAGAAAAGTTTACTAGAAAAAAATCCACGCGGACCAGGCAGCAGACGGGACTCGAACCCGCATCTTCAGCCTGGTCGTCGTGGATTTTTTTCTAGTAAACTTTTCTTTAAATTTAAACATCTAGCAATTAAAAGCTAAAAAAAAACATAACGAATAGCTATGTGAAATACTAGCATTATAATACAGTTATTAAGTTTACTATTTATAAATAAGGTATTGTAAATAAACGATTAAAATTTATGATAAGTAATAAGGAGTTTTATTTTACCTGCATACTGGCCGTACTTCCACAAAGAAAGCAAGGACAGTAGGTTCATATTTAAACTAGTTTTGTGAGCTTATAATTCTAACTTAAGTTGAAACTTAACTCAAAAAAAAACAATCAATAATCAAAAAAGTTTATTACTTACTATACCACATTTGTTGTACTCCAAACCAGGGTGGGTCCCTTCTATTAAGTGTTTAACACCTGTACCAGAAGGAACAACTCTTCCACAGCATCATTAATATATCTTATGGTACGATCATAATTTTATTTCATTGGATTTGTAAAACATTATAAAAAAATAACTGTTAAAAAAAGAGTATGACTGATGTTTCTATTGCACGCTGGAATTTCATCATCATCATCATCAGCCTATTGATGTCCCCACTGCTGGGGCGCAGGCCTTCCCTGTGGATGGAAAAGGGAGATTGGAAAGTGACCTACCACGCAGGCCTGCGGATTGGTGTGTTATATGGACTGCAGATGCAGCCAGGGCCAATTTAACGTGCCTTACGGAGCACGGAGGAGCTCGAGATAATAAATAAGGTTTTGGTCACTTATCCAGTGACGAAAAATTGCGAAAGTTGCTTAACTTCCATGATCGAAGGCCAAATCCGCTAGGCACCTGTGCTATCGAGCACCTAGCTGGCTAGAATTCGAAGAATAGCGTGCACGGATAACACATCTGAAGTGAAACTTCTTTTCTTAAATTACCTAACATTAGGCGGTGAATAAGGCGTAGGGGAATAGTATATGGCAGGGCTTGTTTACCGGTTAATTTACAAACCTAAATCAATGTCAAGTACATTAGGAGCGTTTCATTTAGGTCTGGCTCTACCTTAACCTTAAAAAACCGGTTTTCCTAAAGAGCGAAATCAAATAGGTTTTGAATCAATGTAGCGGTTTTTAAAGGGTTTCATTTCGCTCTTACTGACGGAATCGATAATAAATGAATAACTTGACTCACTAGACGCTAGCAAATGTGTCAATAAATGCATCAATCTCTGAGCATTAAGAAATTGTGACTTGATAAGTTCAAACAATACAAGCTTCAAGCGATGCCGACGCGTGCACGTGTCGCTCTGGATTAAATCGGTTTATTAATGTTTTAGGTACCGCTTTCATTTCTGACGCGCTCCGATCGAAACCTTTACTAAAAACCGGTATTAACCTTTATTTACCGGTATTTTCGAAACCGGTTTCAAGCCCTGGTATATGGTCGCGTGTGATGCTCGTAGCGTTACAGCCTTCGCCTAGCTACCCTCCAATTTTCATGCTCGTCGGGAAGAGCTGAGCTCGCATCCCAAACACACACACATATACAGGGCGTCCCACGGCATTGCCACATGTATGATGATCTTCCTTTCCTTTAAAATGCGATTTAATCATCAGCCTATTTATGTCCCCACTGCTGGGGCACAGGCCTTCCCTATGGATGGAATAGAGAGATTGGGCCATGACCCACCACGCCGACCCAGTGCGGATTGGCGGGTGCTAACAACTGCAGATGCAGCCGGGACCAACGGCTTAACGTGCATTCCGAAGCACGGAGGAACTCGAGATCGATGTTTTTGGTCACCCATCCAATGACCGACCACTGCGAAAGTTGCTTAACTTCAACCATCGCAGCCGAACGTGCTAACCACCTGCGCCATCGAGCTCCTCCAAATGCGATGTTATTTAAAAAAAATACTTATGAATTACCCTTTTGACGGCTATCATAAAAAAGTTCATGTGTTTTTTTTCATTTTTCTCGATTTTGACTCCCGTTTGAAGATAACGATTTAAAAAAAAAACTGTGAAAGCAGATCTACTTATTATTAAAAATAAAATTCTGTCTTCTTTCAGTAAATTATCCTTTCATCAATATTTAATATACTTTTCCTTCGTGCGGCATGCCCGTGGGATGCCCTTTAAATATATGTATATCGATACCTGTAATTTCAATTGACGCTAAGTACATTTTGATCGTAATGAGCTATGAATGCCATCTTACTTGGATTTTTGTCTCTTTTTTCTGTCTAATTCTCATGGCAATACGGCCATTAATAACGATTTTCGACACAATGAAAGTGTATCGTAAAGAACGTCATAATTTGATTTTGTTTTTTAACAACCCAACCATTTACTATAAATAAAGCTAAATGTGATTTAATAGGGCGTAAAGAACACTTTGCTTAAATTTTGAAGGCATAAATATCTTTTAAAGCAGGTACTGTGTTACCTGTTTCAGTGTCGCCGTACACGGGCCACCGAACCACAACCACAAAACGCCGCCACCGGCATATTTCTTGTAGTTTCCATACATTTTATATGGACTCGCCACACACGGTACGCCGGTGGCCGCCACACGCTACAAATCGTCGTTGCTCGCTTCTTGTGGCCCGCACCGGGCACCTAATGCGCCGATACAAAACGCCGCCACACGTCACTCGCGCGATTCCCCACCCCTTTCTCCCTTACCTTAGTCGGCCGCTGTCACGCGCTTCAGCCACTTAAAATAAGCACGGCGAGGAGAGGGAGATGGAGACCCAAGGGCAAGATCCCGATTATTCTGGGTGATCCGAAAGGGGAAGTGGAAGAAGGGATCAGGAGAGTCGTCGATGACGCGAACACCCTAACTACAAAGGAGATCAGGTTCGGTATGGCCGAGCGCCTGAAATTCATCGATGAGGTCGCGGATGAGGAAGTCGATGATGAGTCGACAAGAAAGACTCTCCTGGTGGTGGCGAGACAAATATCCGACTTCATGGAGGTGGCCCTGAAGAAGGCAGACAAGACGGACAGGCTTGATAGGGTTGAGGAGGTGAATTGTCGGCTCCGAGAGGAGAACGGGTGTCTCAGGGCGGAGGTTGAGTCCCTGAGAAAGGAGGTGGACTCTCTGAAGAGGACCCTGGAGAGAAAGTCAGTCGTGTCACTGGCAAGCGAGGCCGTCGAGGAGTTGAAATGCTCCCTTATGGTATCCATAGGGGAGATGGTCAACACCCGGCTGGCCTCTCTAGAGGAAAGGCTCCAGCTGCCACCAACTAAGAGCCTGAGACCGCCACTGGCGGCTGATCGCAAGGTGGGGAAGGCGTCGGAGATGAGGGCGATGGAGCCCTGGAGTGTGGTGGCCGCGAGGGGGAAGAAGAGCAAGGGCACGGCTCCTGCAGCCAGCCCTGCGCAGAAGGGCGAGGCCGTCACGCAGATCAAGCGCGACAAGGACCGGCGTAAGGGTGGGGAAAAGGCGCCGCACATCAAGGTGCCGAGTACCGCCGCAGTTGAAATGAGGGTGAAGCCCAGGGCGGAGGAGCTGGGCCTCACCCTCACGAGCATTGTGGAGATGGCACGGGCGGCTATCGAGCTGCCGTCCGTGGGCATCGACGACGGCTTAACTATTAAAACGAGCCAGACTGGATCCAGGCTCCTACTGGTGTCGGGGCCTGGTAATAGGAAAAAAGCGGATGACCTCGCCAAAAGAATGGAGGAGGTAGTGGGTGAATACGCGCAGATTGGCAGGCCGGAAAAGTGCACCGACCTAAGGATAACCGGGCTCGATGAGTCGGTGACACTGGACGAATTGAAGGCGACGATAGCTAAGGAGGGAGGTTGCTCGGCGCACGAAATCTCTGCGGTGGGAGCTCATCCAGGACCGATAGGAATGAGGGGGATGCTCATCCGATGCCCCACATGGGCCGCGCGGAAGGTGGCAGAGGAGAAAAAAATAAAGGTGGGATGGAGTCTCGCCAAGGTGACCGTCCTAAGCCGGCGCGCGCACTGCTTCAAGTGCATGGAGAGGGGGCACGCGGCGGCGCGTTGCCCGGCTAAAGAAGACCGAAGCACCCTGTGCTTCCGGTGCGGGGCAGCGGGGCACAAGGCGGCGACGTGTGCTGCCCCCGCCAGATGTGTGGTGTGCGC